CTCCGATCTAGAACGACGACTAATGAAGTCTGCAAGGGCTATTGAAACGTCCAGGCACGTGTTGAGAGCGTACACGTGAAGACCAGTGGGGAACCCAACTCAAAGGCGTTCTCAAAGCTTGTGACTTCGGGGACCAAGAAGCAAGAGCCGAAACCGCTGCTGTGTTATCGCAGAAAATCGAAACTGAAATATGCGAGTCCTTGAGTCGAACACTGAGCGTCTTCTCTATCCCTATCAAACCCAAAACAGCTGCACATAGCTCCAGATAACAGATCTCAGGCTCCTCCAAACCGGCATAAGCGGGTGCTTCGGCATCGAGATGTGCCTTGAGAATTTCCTCCCACAGCAGAGGCTCGTCACAAGAGTTGATGTTATACCAATAATAGTCAGTGCCATCAGTGAAGAATCCTCCAAAGCCATACGTGCAAGCATCCGATACCAAATACCAAACCTCCTCCTTCAGACCAAAAAGGGGTACGGAACATGGCTCGGCCAGAGCCTCCCATATCGACTGGAGAGATTCTCGAACAGATGCGGAAAGGCGAACATGTCTCAGAGGTTTCCCTCGTTTGGGGCGGTCAGCGGCAGCGGTCAATGCATATAAGGCACCGAGCTTGGGACGCCAATGGCGAATCAATTGAGCACACCAAGATAGCTTCCCGAGCAACTTCTTCAAATCTCTAGTCTCTACTATGTCCGATTCAAGAAAGCCGGAGATTCTATACTTCTCTCTCTTTTCAACTGGAATGCTGATCCGAGCCGGACCGAAATCATGCTTAAGATCTAGCCCAAAACCGAGAGTACGAATATCCCTGGAGAGATAAAATACCTTCTTGAATTCTACTTCGAATCCGATTGCAATGACCAATAGTAAGAGCATACATAACTGCAGTATGTAAAATAAGTACCAGGTACCGTCATCCAGATAAATGATACCCCGGGGTCTTTCCCCGTTGGCTCTCCTCGCCAGAACCGCTAAGAGGCGTCGTTGAATCCGATGCATAGCTGCACTACACCTAGTAAACTGTAGAGGGCTAGATGCCAATCCGAAAGGGAGGCAGTTCTCCCAAATGATGGGTGTCTCCAATGAGCCGTTGGCAACGCTAGTCGGACACACAAGAGCTAAAAGGCCTTGCTCCTCCTCTCTCACCGACAACGAGCGAAACGCACTT